CATGAATACGCCTGGAAAAACCAGCCGGTGGCAACTGCTTCCCATGCATGATAGGAAGAAGGTCCTATGGGGAGGAAGGCTCGCTGGTTCCTCTGGGATCTCTTTTTTTGACTCGCTTTGTTTTAATTCAGGCTGCACCCCCCTGCCTGGTGCATCAGCATCTCCCTACCCTCTGCCCCGGCAGGAGGTGCCCATCACACCCACCCACCCAGTCCTTCTTGCATGGGAGGATCAGGAGACCAAAAGAGGGAAAGGATCTCTCTGGGGGAGCCGGGCCAGCATAGGATCGTGTCTCTGAGCAGATGTCTTGCCATTGCCCTCCGTGTGTTTTGAAGTGGCCACCCACGGGCACTGTCAGCCCCTCTGTCCCCGGAGTAGCAGGGTGGAACTATGCCGTGGAAGCAAGCTGTTGGCGGGTCGTGTTGCGGTAGGTGCTGTATATACACTCCTGGCCTCCAGACGTTTTTAGCCTAAACAGAGAAGTGAGGGGGAGCATCTGAGTGGATTTTTTTTTTTTTTTTTGGCAAAATGGTTTTCCTCAGAAAATGCTACTTGTCCTTGCATGCACAGCTGTGAGCCTATATGGCTTACCAGGTTTCAACACATTTTTGTTAGGAAAAGGCTTTGCATGTCTTTCCTGCTCTAAAATAGAAAGTGACTTTTTAAGCTGGGGTTTAACTTGGGTTGGGGAGGAACAGCAGAGCAGGGAGTCAGACCTCGCTCCCACATGACTGCCCAATCCCCAGCTAGCATAGCACAAAGTACAGGGTGATTTTTTTTCTTTTGTGCCCAAATTTTTTGTTTTTTTTGTTTTTTTTTTGTCCCAGAACAGATCAAACAAATAAGCGCCAAAGCCCCAGCCCTTTGCAGGATGCAAAAAGCATTTTTCCTTTCCAGCTCCAGAAGAGACACTACCCCATTTTATAGATGCAGAAATCAAGTCATTTGCTTACTGTCGCTGAGAGGCAAAGCCGGCTGCAGGCACAAAGGTCCATCTGTGCTGCCTGGTCTGGGAGCATCCTCCGGGCACTTGGTGCTTTGCAGTACCAGTGCCACAACAGGGTAGGGTCTGGATGTACACCAAACCCTTCTGCCTCCTTACCTCCACAGTGAACCACCTCTGCTACCCTCTGTCCCTGGGATCTTCCCCATATGTTCTTCCTCAGTTTAACTGATGAGCAGCCCATGACATTTTGGCTCGAGATCGAGCAGAAGCCAATGTCCACCAGCAGCAATCAGACTGTTGCATTTATTGCTGCTATCCACTCGACATTTAGCATCGCATTTTCTGAAAGATGCTCCTGGCCTCAGTCCCTCTATGTGAACTGAATCATTGCATGTACCCTGCAGGAAACATGCCCTGCTCTTGCCTCTCCAGCAAACGCTCCTATTCAGCCCCCCCGAAAACTGTTTGTTAACCAGGCAATACTGGAGAGGGTTTAGGCACAGAGGGAGCAGAGTTAAACCAACTTCAAGCGTGGGCTTTAGTTCTGGAGCTGCAGTGTAATCCACACTTAGCTTCCCTGGGGTGCAGACTTCATGCCCTGGGAGAATAATAAACCGCCCCCTAGGGCTGAATCTCTGGCTGATGGCTGGAATTTGAGGAAATCCTGTGAGTTTGTAATCTTAGGCTGCTTTTCCTGGGCAGTTTATTCCTTTAAATAGAAAGGCTTAAATGAGATTGACTCCTACAATCCTTCTGCTCCGGGCTAGCCTGTAATCTTTAGCGACCAGCAGTGGGCATTTGCTCTGCATCACACATCCTTCCTGCCTCTCCTGAGAGTGGAAATCAAGGCTTAGGTGGTCTCACCTTGTGCCTGCTTGTCCCATCTTATGGAGCTGGTGACCAATTTCAGGCAGGCTCGATGGGCAATAGCAGTCTTTAAACTTTGTGAAACTGGATGTGCAGAGAGAAGATCTAACTGCCGCATGGGGGAAAGGCTGGAACAGGAGTACAACCCAACCCTTATGAGGTACTAGAGAATCCACATGGCAGAGAGTCTCTATGGCCTAATTAGCTGAGATGGGGCAACAGCACCTTACCAGAAACCCACAGCTCTTGGTAGGACTGAGATGGGATCTAGGCTTTCCATGGGACCCGTGACAAGAACCAGCATCCAACCAAGAGCTGCAGGCCCTGGACAGACAGCTTTCCTCTTTCTGAAGCACAGACAAAGCCTAAGTCATTCAGCTTCTCTTATTCCTTCTGGCTGGTCCTCCCATTCCCTGTGCAGACTCACAGGCTCCATGCATCACATCTCTTTCTTAACACACAGTGAGAAACAGTTGTGGACTGATGGGGGAGAGCAACCCAGAACGCTGAGTCTCAAAACCTATTTATTTTATCTCTAGCTTCCTCCCATTCATCTAGCTCATTTCTGGACTGTGTTCTTGGGAAGTCTATCCTTGTGGCTGTGCCACAGGGGTCAGGGGAGTGGAAGTGGTGCTGGGGGATAGGGACAACTGCTGGCATATCTTTGCTGGAGCAATGGGCACATCAGTGCCAAGTGCAGCCACAGGCATCAGCCATGCAAACACTGTCCTGTTAAACTTCCAGTGCTCACCTGGGCTTTCTTGCTTCCTAGCCTAGGTTAATTCAGTTGTACCGTGCCCCTCACTGTAAAAATATTCCAAGGACCTCCAAAAACATTAATAAACCCATGATGGAATATGAATATCGTTGAAAGGAGGGTTAGAGATGGGTAAATCTGGAGGCTTCATCCCCAGGTAACACTTTGGAATTTTTAATTGGGTTATTAATTCAGACGAGCTTTAATTCCAGTATAATTAATGGAGTAATTTGGCAGGCATGAGAGCCAAAGGCAAAAAGGTCTCTAAGTGGCTAGAAATCACTCTGCTGAAGAAATCCTCATGGGATAGCTAGTGCAGCAGTCCAGGTCCACCTCAGAAGGAGGGCAATCAGGTAGCACCGTCCAGAGGGATGTGCTGGCTCCAGGTGTGACTGTGGGTCGGCAGGGAAAGGGACCTGCCGTAGCTGGTCTGCTACGTGTGTCTGGGCCTCCCCAAGGTTTCTCCTGGGCTGTCTGAGTCCCACATGAGACGGGATGGGAGCAGCACTTGTGGACCAGAAGAAGGGTGATGGGCCCATTGCTAGAGCTCCCCAGCTCTGTGGCCCCTGGCCATGGCTCAGGACCTAACAGAGCAGAGAAGAGGCCAGGCGTTGCATTACATATTAGTGAGATACAGGCCTGGCTGGGGGGAAACTTCAGATTGGGTGTACCTCTCTGAGACTTGGTAGGGCACCACTTTTGGGGCAAAATGCTGCACCAGCATGCCCAACCATGCTCTGTCCTTCCTGTATGCTAAAGGTGTCCCTTTATCTGCATAAGAAGTGCATCAGGAACCTCAGCAGACCCTTAGATTGCAACCGCGCAAGGATACCAGGATGCATTGTACCCTCATCACGGGATCTTTCAGGTGAACTATCTGGGATGCTTTCTAAAGCTTTTTGGTTTGGTATGGAAGGGAACACCTTGTTCGTCTACTCTGACTTGTATATGATGCAGGTCAGAGAGCATTGTCTCCCACAACTTGCAATAGCATGAATGGATGTCTTTTTCAGGATAAGCATTTACAAATCCATTTTATGACCATTTACTTTGCAGATCTCCAAGGGAGAAGCCCACTTGTCCCTGATAGGCAAATACAGGTTTCTCCATAATTTTCTAGTAGGATGTGTAGTGGGCGGTCACAGACTTGAGAGCTTGGCTGCCTTTTCAGTGATGCTGTTTGCTGCAGAAATCATTTATTTTTATCCTTGTAAGGAATAATTTTCTCTTGACGTCTGTGCTGAAATCTTTGTGTTTATGATAATACAGCCAAGCTCCCTATTTTTACAAGGTCTGTACTACCACTCTCTCTTGTCCATGATGCAAGACACCAACCCTGACTTTACCCATCCTCTTCTTCACCTCTGCAAATCCTTCGTCCTAAACCTACCCATGGGCCTTCTCCTCAGCTAGAAGAGCAAGTCCCAGAGGGCAGGTCCTATACTGGAGCTGGTGCAGGAGCTGCTGCCCTGCTCACAAATGTGTTACTGCATGCCAGCTGATGGCTGGTGACTTATTCTCATGCTGGGCAGCCCCATCAGTTGGGATATACATGTAATTGGAAGAAGAGCTTTCTGAAAACAAATTGCTATTAATGAAACCCATTGAGCTGTCATAAACCTGTCAGTACCTTCCAGAGTTTCTTCTGGCAGGGTCACCATGAAGCTATCGCTTCATGAGGAAAGGTTATTGCCTGACCCTGCCTCCACCTCAATCCCTTCAGATGATCCATGGCTCCTCATGCAAGAGGTGCTGGGCTATCCCTAACCTGTGGCTGCCCTTGCAGACATGTCCTGGGACATGCAGAGGAACTTCTCTTGGTTGCTCTGTCATACCAGGTCTAGGGAGTTCTCCACCACGCAGGCAGCGTAGTCGAGGAGAAACGAGTCCAAAAAGCTGGGTCTGGATTTAAAGGTGAGATTCATGGTGGAGGCAGGTTCTCTACGTCAGGTGCCCTTGCTGACACCCCCAACATACCCCTGAAAAACATCTGTCCAACCGAGGACTGCACAGAGTGCACCAGATGGCACTTTAAACACCTGTCCCCTAATCTCCTTCTCTTTCTTTCCAGGTGCTTGCTGGCTGTAGGGATGCTCCTCACAACCACCCTAAAAGAGGAGTCCTGGTTATTTCTATCAAGCCCTTGATCTCCTCTTTCCATTCAGCTATAAAACAAGAGAAATGAACACCTAGGTGTGTTCATTTGACAATGTCATTTGACAATGACAGGTACCAGAAACACAGCGCGAAGGACCTTCCACTCTGCGGGTACGGTGCGAGCTCATCTGGATCACAGGAAAACCAGATATTCCTCCACAAGAAGCTCTCCCTTCATCCTATCCAAGAGTTAGCTATTTGCTCTCTCGCCTGTGGTCTCCATTTTCTTCACCCTCTCCTCCTCCTGAAGAACAGGTAACAGGCAGGACATGGGCATAAACCCCTAAAACAGCTTTTAGCTATTGTCAAGGTTCAGTTCTCCTTGTAGGCCCCCTTGTTCTGGCTAAGTTCAGTAATAGAGTGAAGCAGTGCTAGGTCTGGATTTTCAGCCTTATTTGCAGCTTTAAGAGCATATTGCTTTCATGGGACAAATTTCCAGGTCAAGATGAGCTGGAAAAACCACCCCCAGAGCTTTTGGATTCAGTGTCTCTGCTAGGACCTGCCCCGAAGATGAAATGAATTTTATGTGCTTGGTCAGAGCAGAGGCCAAGCAGGGAACGAGGCCAGAAAAACAGTGGGTCATGTTGAAGTTTCTTTTTTTCTTCACTTGACTCTGAAATAAAAATATATCTCAAGATTGTTTTGGGATTAACACGAAAAAATCCATCTTGATGGGAACCATCTGTGGCTGGGAGATGCCGGCTGCTCTCTGCTTTCTACCCAATATGCAGACACTGTTATTAGGGCGTGTTCCTCTCCCAAATATTATTCCTTTTATCCCTGTGCTGGTCAGAGGAATCCCAACTATTTAAGGAGGCCTTTCTTTCTGGATGGGGCCAGCACTAAAAAGCACCAGCAGCTCATTATGCCTATATAACATAATATTTGCTTTCCTCATTATAACAGCGCTGCCCAGCACAGCTTGCCGGTGGCTGCTGGTTTTGCTAGCACAAATACTGGAAGCTTCTTCACGGTAACCTTTCCACCCCAGACGTTACCTCATGTTCAGAGCAAATTTGCTGTGGTCTCTCCAATCTGTACTGCAAACCAGAGTGGGGGGAAAGCCGCCCCAAGCAGCAGAGCTGTCCTTGCTCTGCATCCACTGAGTGAAAAAGAGCATATTTGTGCCAAGGCATAAAGCACTGCAGTGACTGCTGGGGTAGCTGCTAACCCTGCATCGGGGTTGGGGCATCTGCCAGTGAAATGTGACCACTTCTAAGTTGGAGGTTTCCCAACGGTAGGATAAAAAGATGGTAAAAAATGCTGGAGACTGTTCAAAGTAGGAAAAAGCATCCTAGACCTGGGGAAAGACAGGAAACTGCATTTACCTTGCCCAGCCAGGCAGGCAGCCCTGCCCTCGCAGACCGTACTGCATCCTTAGAGCCTCGTCTGATTATTGCTGAAGCTCCCTTGGGCATCATCCTGCCCCGGCACTGTGGGACACTGGGGACAAGGAGCCCTTGCGGTGAAGTCCTGGCTCTTAGCCCTGGCCCACCCAGTGCCCCCAGTACAATGGGACCATTCTACTGCTGGAGACCATGAGGCGGTAGCAGGAGCTCTGCCAGCACAGCTTGGGTTGCAGAGGTGAAATCCTTGCTGCAGCCAGGCCCTCCGCCTTCTCCAGCTATTTCACACTGCTCTGATTTCAGCCGGGAGATCCCAGACGCCATCTGAAGAATCTAGGTTTGAATGCAGAAATAAACCTGTCTGGGTCATGAGCACATCGCATTGGTGATGGGAAAGTCCAAACAGGGCAGAGGGACACGGGGAAGAAACAAGCTGTGCACTCTCAGCTCTTAATATGAGGCTGGAAATCTGGGAAAAGGCTTCCTGGAGGATTTGTGGCCAGAAATCATGAACTGATGCAGGAAAAGACGGGCAGTGCAGAGGTGATTCTGCCCTTAGGTTCACCTCCAGCTATTTTAGGGTGCTTGCGCTCTCCTGCACACGCATCCCATCCCGGATGGCTGCAAGCAAGGATATGGCTTGCTCTTACTCCTGAGTCACTGTGGTGGTCCCCTCATTACATTGCTGTGTTCAGCTTTCCTACTTGAGCCCATTAGTTGACTCTTTTTGGTTGCTTTCTTGCATATTTGGGATCTGTACATGTATGTGTGTCAAACTTTCAAGTACACCCAGCCTTCGGGCAAAATTAGCTCTGGGGCTGACCACTCTGCCCTCCTTAAAATCCTCTCTGTGAGTCCAGACGACTCAGATGGTGGCTAGGAGAGGCTGAGTTTTGCAAGGAGGACTCATGTTTCCGGAGATCTTAGAGTAAAGTTTTATGGGACAAATATTCCCCAAATGCCATTTCGGCTTCAGTAGACCAGTGTGTTTGCACACACTTGTTTGCATGCTGTTACTGATGCTTGAACAAACAAAATCATATGCACTCCCCACTAACACTGTATTTCATCCATCAAGAAGTAGTTTGCGAATTAAATGTATTATGGAGAACCACTTTATGTTGAACCAGGAAGAAAATGTACCGTGCTTCTTTATTTAGTGGTAGGGAGCAGGGGGAATGGGTTCACATAGTACTTCTCAGATAATGAGATTTTGAACTCTAAGCGTTTAATTTCTGTATTGTCTGTGCAAATATGCTCTGTTACAGGCAGCCAGAGGCTGTGATGGGCCCTTGCAGATAAAGCCCCTGTTACGGGGTCACTGAACAGGGACCTGAACACCCCACGTCTTTGTCCGAGAAGACTCCAGGATGGAGATAATCAGCAAACTGATGTTCCCTTTTGCCTCGCTGAATAAGACATGCTTTGTTCAGGAATACAGGTCGGGTTTGTGGCAGAGCAGCTTGCAGGAGATTTTATTTCAGCTACCTGCAAAGAAGCTATGAGAAGAATGTAGTAGGTTCCTCTCGGTCTGGAGGAACGGAGAGATACTAACCCCAGGTATTGTTTAATATTAACTGGACCGGTGCACATCTATGAAAGGTTTGATTGTGTGTCTATCTATGTTTATATACAAACATCACCTCCAAAGTCGTATTAACGTGGCTGAAGCCTTGCACGGGCTGGGACAGGTGAAAGTCCTCCCAGAGTTAGCTGCATTGATGATCGTTTTTGCCAATAAGGACCGATTTCTGTGTTGGCACCGGAAATTAAAGTTGTAAGCCTGTGCTCGGTGCTGTGCAGGTGCAGAACAAAGAGATAACAGAAACGCCTGTGGTTAATGTTTTAGATAAGAGAAACCGAGAGGCCAGCCGGCAGGGAGGGTAAGGAAACAATGAAACCCTGTTTGCATGGGGACGCCAGGGAACGGCTCTCTCCGGACGTCTGTGGGTTTCGCGCCTGGCCGGTCCCCTGAGACATAGCTATTACAAGCTCCCAGGCTCACCGCCCTGCATCTGCCCCAGTGGCAAAACCCACCTGGGTTTCAACACAAGCAAGATTTGGCCTTCATACTCATCCTCTCTCCTTCTTTACAGCTCCTCGGCCCAGATGTTATCAGCGGCACCTTTGGTGAAGCTCCTTCCCACAAGGGCAGAGAAATGCTGGCTCACAAGATGACATACATCTTTTGCTGCTGTTTCAGCCACATTTGTTTATTAGGTAGACCTTATCCAGGATCTAGAATACTTTAATACGTGCAGTCATTTTGACTCATTAATTTGGAGATAGCTTTGCCTACGTGTCCTGAAGTTCTCACAACGTATCTAAGCTCTGTCTGGCAGAGGGTGGATAGCTATTCCCACCTACAGTTAAATACACATTTCAAAAAGCAGACATAGGTTTAAAATAATCCCGTTTGCCATAGATTATATATTTAGGGCTGGACTTTCCCTCCTTAAACTACTTTCACTCAGGGAATCGCCTGAAACTGAGGAAGATGCTGGTGAATGGTTTCCAAAAAGGACAGAAAAGGACCCTTGGGTTGGTCAGCAGTGCCTAGATGTTCCCTTCCAGAAGCAAAAAACTACATAATGGTCTTAATTCGTATCTTCTGGGGTATGATTCATACATCTTGTAGTATGTAGCTTCCCTGCTCCTCTTGTCCTGCTGTGTCCTTCTGACTCTCAAGAGCAGCGAGCAGAATAGCAGGGCTGAAGGCCCATCCCATCTGTACACTTATTATCTGCGTGATGCTGGTTTGTTTGGAGAGAAGGGAGGAAAGGAGGTATAACTTCCTCCTCAGTACAGGGTGGAAGCAGACAGACAGGTCTTGTAAAAGCCACGTATCACATCCTAGCTGAGAGCTCCACTGGCTGGGTCAGTCTGCTAAGTTGGTCTGGTTTTCTGTCTACATGAGAAGGTATTTTGCTCCTTCGAATGTCTTCATGGGGAAGGCCAGATGTACTCTTTCTACTAACAACAGGTGGCTGTACTCAGCATGCATGTGTTTTGTGATCCAGACCAGCTGCAGACCTCAGAGGGACGGGGAGGGAGATGTCTGATCTAGCTCCCTGCCCCTCAGTCGAGCTGGAAATGGAGCCATTAGTCCAGTCTTAGATCCAGTTATTTATTTTACTGCTCTGCTAATTGAATGCAATTATGAACGTCTCTGGCACCCACAGAGCTTTGGTATTGAAGGACGATGTGAGAGGCAATAGGGAGTTCTTACTAATATGTGTCTATTTTTTTTCCTGTAACAGACCTGGATTTATCCCGTCTCTAACTGAGAGTAGCAGCTGGCGGTTATAGATGGGTTCATTACTTCTAATAGTGTGTACTTAATAAGTCAACAAATAAAAGTTTTAAAGGAGACCACTTGGGATACAGGACTGAGACTCTCCATCAACTCATTTGTAGATTCCCTTTACAGCAATGGGTGTCATAGTCAACTAAAGTATCTGCACAACAAGATCATACACCACTTCCAACTTCACCTCCACTAAAACCTACAGGAGGCTGTGGACGAGCTAGTGAGACCCATGTTTCTCTGGCCAAGTCCTTCAAAGGGCTAGGGTGGAAGTCCAGGAGCTGTCTGCATGAACGCATTGCTATAGGGCAACGTCCTTTAAGGCTTCAGGGAAAACGGAGGGCAGAAGGCACTCTTCCTCCTGCAAAATCTTGATGGAGACAGAGATCTCTCAGCTTGCCTTTGGACCAACATCAGCACAAAGAGCACTCTGGACAAGGGAACAACAAGACATGGTCCCACACCTTCTACTGTATCTGGGCCTATTTCCTCTGATGCTTTTTGTATTTGCCCTGTCAATTTTTGGGCTTGCTTGTTTCTCACTGGTAAGAAACCATCCGGCTCTTCTCTCCCTACAGAAGATCTTGCAAAGACAAGCTGTACCTTGCTACTCTTCCCTGTCTCTGCCCCCAAAGAAGAAGGGTTTTTCTCTCATTGCCTGTCCCTCTGCTCCTCTCCGTATGCAAAACAAGCTGGCTGAGATCCAGGTACCTCTCAGGTCCCAGGGGAGAAACTTGCCATCTCCACCTGTACATGTCCACCACGTGAAACTCAAACCATCTCCTAGAAGCTTCATTCAGGAAGGAGCTGGTTGGCAAAGAAGCCTGCACTGCATTTTGGGTCATTTGCTGGGAAAGGTCATACTTTGCTCCTGAGGAACTGATTGATAGCTCAGCATTGAGCTTGTGCAACTAGGAATTACGTGTGTCCCTGGTCGGCTTTACACCGAGCTGGAATACAGCAGCTGACTTGGCAGGGAGATCAGTGCATGATAGCCAGGAGCACGCTCAAACGCAGGCTAACCTTTGCCCAGGTGTACTCCGCTCACCTGTTCGGGGACTAGGCAACACCTTTCACAGATAGGAAAGATGAGTAGATACCTCATGTGACCTGCCTCATAATATACCTTATGCAATACCCTACATTTATTTATATAATATTCTATATTGAAATATTGTCCCTGCAGCAGAGGAGCATCTGGTTTGAGGTAAAGGCATCAAACGGGGAGAATTCTGCCTTCGTTCCTCACTTTCCTTGGTAGTTTCTTCTCACAGCTAAAAAAAATGCTCATTCATCTTCTCAACTGACTTTGTTGTTGACTTCCAGCTGCTTGGTCTTTGTGAAGATGTGCTCAGGGCTAATTTTGTGCTGAATGGCACGCCGCAAAGTTGAGGCATTTTTATTCTAGTGGTGGGGAAAGGAGGGCAGGGAGCTGACTGCAATTCTCTCTTCCACACCATGCCAGGACAAAATCAGTCCTATTTTTCATGAATACGTGGACCATCAATATCGTCACAGTTCGTCCCCCACGCTGGGAGTCTTCAGTGCAGCAATTAGAGGCGACTGAGCCGGAGCAGGGCATCCAGGACCCAATTTACTGGCAGACCTGCAGTGATAACCCATACTAGTGACTTTCCTCCTATTTAAGTACATCCATCTTACCTCCAGCTGAAAGAGTTGCGGGGCTGCTGGTTAACCTACTGCCGAACACAGTTATTGTGCAAACAGCGAAGTGTTCCCTGACTGAGCAGTCTAGCGATATCTTTGTCTCCAGTTGCTGGGTAACATCAAACACTCGCATACTCTCAGTCAACGATCTCTTCGGGGCTCGTGATCCAACCATTGCCACCACTGCGGGAACGGATACCTTCTGCGGGCTTGTCGAGGCAGATCGACGAAGACGAAGGCATGAAGGAGAGGCTGCAAAACACAGGACATAACAGCAAAGTGTCTCTGCAAACGCTCCCTGCCAGTGTTATCACGGTCAAATAGTGGCAGCTAAGGGCACGCTTGCAGCCAGCGCTCTCCTTACACTTATTATTGGTGCAAAGGCCGAAGGAAGAAGCACCTGAATGAAAATATCTGCAGCACAAACACAGGAAAACGCAGACCTCCCCCCTGTTTGTCCTGCATTCCCTGAGTATTTGCACGAGCAAAACAATAGCATGGCCCTTACTGCGCTTCCTTCCCCTTCCCACGGCTCTCCCGTCAGTCGCGGGCCGCTGCGGTGGGGATTTACCTCCAGCCGGCCTCGTATGCACGGACAGACAGACAGACAGGCATGCACAGTGTCTTGGCTCTTTTCCTGCCCGAGGTCTTATAGATAAATTCAGTCTTGCCTCTTTTGGGCCTCGTTTTTTAATTCTGGAGATCGCCAGATCTCCAGTTTTGTATTTCCCTGCTAGAAAGGAGAGAGAAAAAAATAAAAAAAACCCTTCTCGACCAAGCTTTCCCATCCATGCGTATATAATAAAATGCTTACAGGATTGGGTGCAAAATCTGTCCATGCCAATAGGCTAAAACTTGGCCCTGGTTTCAATCGTTGGCACCGAGCAGGGTCTTACTGGAAAGTGCAGGCAGCTGAAAATGTGATCGTGTGCTGTGGGTGTCAGCAGGGCAAAAGTGTTTTTTAAGACCGTTACAGGTGCCCCATTTTGAAATAAATGTGCCTGGGGATATAGGTACGAGCACATTATAAACACTAGCCATGCCAAAGGGAGATATTTAAAATAGCTTTGAGCATTATTCAAGGCTAAATTACACGTTGGCGTAGGATAAGGAACTTTGAAATCTGAAAATACTTCCCCGGTCCAAAATTTTGTCTTTTTTTTTCCTAAAAAAAATTCAGATGAAATTTCCTTCCATTGGCCACCCTGCGACTTTTTTTTTGACATTGCACGGCCTCCAGCCGCAGAAGTGCTGACAGCAGGGGGAAAGACGGTCTCTCGGCTCACCGTTCCCCTTTTCACAGCTGCTCAGAGAGAAAACTCTTTCTCAGCCCCGCGTCCCTGGGCAGGAGTATGCTCGGTGCGAAGGCTGTGTCGGATTCAACTGGCAAAGTTGGAAAAAAAAAAAAAAAACAGAAAATGTGCAAACTGAGATTTTTCCCCCCCCCCCGAGGCATTTTACTCAGCTACTTTTGAGCAGACGTATGCAGGGATGGTAAAAAGCAAATTATTGGCTGACATTAAGGGCAGCTGCAACATTTCTGGAATCTCAAGAGTTATAAGAGTGTTTTCTAGCAGAGCCAAAACAAAGTATTTTTGCCCTTAATCTGACAAAGGGCTGGACTATTTTTGCTGAAATTAAAAAGAGATCATCACTAGGCAGAGACCCAAGCATGTAAAATTTCATCCTGGTTGTTTAAAGTCTGGCAGAGTCACAAGCACCTACGGTCATGACTTTGTTATGTGTCTCTAAATACCTGCTTCTCCTGCTTGCGCTCCCGTCCTTGTAGCAGCAGGAAAAAAAAAAATCAAAAAAGGGTCCTAAAGCGCTTAAATGAACCCGGCCACCAGGAGGCAAATAAAATGCACCCACAGGATATACTTTCATCAGAGCGTGAGTTAATCATAGCTTTGAGGGTCTTGCGATTTTGAAATGCTTGCAGTCGGCAGCGCTGCAAGGAAAAGTATATAGCAAACAGCTACCTTGCTATAACGGTGTCTTCTGCTGTAACGTGACTCTGTGTCTCCTCTGCTGAAGCTGGGGATCGTCTCTTTGGATCAGGCTTTACATTTTGGTTTTTTGATTCTGTTCTGCTCCAGCTTTTTCTGTCCCTGTAAAGACGAGTCTGGTATCTGCCTCACAGTTGCTTTTTATTCCGACAGCGCACCTCGTGCTTTTGCACCATTCGGACCACGCACAGCTCCAGGGCTGGCTCTGGGTGTGGGCTAAAAGGGCGGAAAACAGCCAGTTTACAGAGAGAGAAATGGACCCTCTGGTCTAAGCTGAGTATTTGGGTCAAGAAAGGCAAAAGAGTCACCCTGGCGGTAAAATTCAGTTTTATCTTCGGTGCTGAACTTGCCTGGATGTGTTCCTCAGGATGACTCATTCGTGTGGTCACGACATACAGGAATCAAGTCCTGCGCGCGGTGTAGACACAATAAAACGCTCATCCCTTCCCCAAACTGGCTGCGATGTGAGGACCCGGTGATGGGACGCCCACAGGCACGTGTGTAAATGAGGTCCGGGGGACTGGTCCATGGTGCACACGTACCTGCACACTTGCAATATCAGGATCTAACGGAAGACCAAGTGCAGCTGATGGCAACGGGTGGAAAAATAAATATTAGACAGGTGGGAAAGGGCACATTTACAGGAGCGGGGGAAATCAGGAGACTGCAAAGCCCAAACCCGGCACCCTGCGACTGCCTGACCCGCTTCCTTCCCACCTCCATCCCCACCGCGTGGGAACACCTGGTCGCACAAGCCCCTTGCGTCTCTCCTAGCAGGCTTTGAGACACTACCGCCTTAGATATAAATATCCCAGAAATATAAATACGAGTGATCTGTTTTCCCTTCTGACCGCTCTGCTCCTCGCTGCCCAAGCGGCGATTTACTGGTGCCCGGTTAACCGCAGGCCAGCCGGGCTCTTACGGGACCATTATTTTCACTATAACCCACGGAGGTTTTCCAGGCTGGCTTTTACATTTCGGCGGCACCGCCCTGGCGCGTGTGCGTGTCCGTAGACCCATGGGGTGCTCCTCGGGGCGGACAATTTCTAGACGTCCCGTTCGCCAGGAGGAAGACGCCGGTGGACGAAGGCTGGGTCGCCCAAGAGAGGAAGCGGAGAGGAAGAGGGTGCTGGAAGAGGGTTATCGGTTGCCTTTTTGGGGCTGGGTGCTCCCCAAACCCCAGGGACCCCGAAACCCACCCAGAGCAGCACCGAGCTCCCCGATGCTTTTCCCCACCGGGCGCCGGCCAGTTTCGGGGTAGCACCGAGGGCGGTGGTGGTGGTGGTGGGGAGGGGGTAGGGGCGAGCAGAGC